ATCTCTTGCCCTGCCCACAAACTTACTGAAGTAAGGTTGCTGGTCCCTGTTTGCAGCAGCCTCAGGGATGCACTGAGACAGACATGGCATGAAGCTTTAAGATATTTCCTAAGATTCTTTCTCTACTGCAGTTGATGCATTAGATCCCAAATCAGCAAAGCGCTTCAGCATATGCTTTGCTGTGTAACACTAAGCCTGCATAAAAGTTAGTCTGAGCAAAAGCAAACTGCTGGGATAGAGGCACCTGTAAAAGCCCAGGCACCCAAAGTTACAGGCTCTAAAAAAAAAAAAAAAATTTTTATAGCATTCCAAAGCCCTTTTCAGAAAAAAAACAGCTTTACAGAAAGGGTGACTATCTTTATCTGAGTGAGCAGAGAGGCCAAGGTGCTTGGCCAAAGTCCCCTAAACACACAAGCAGCAAGACTCAGGAGGGTGGGTGTGTTTCTGAAGTCATACTTGTTCTCTAGTAACTAAAGAAGACAGTCCCATTTCTTTATAGGGAATGCCAGCTTCAGACACCCATACAGTTCATGGATGGAAGTGCTTAACACACACCACTGGCATCGGGTGGCAGTGCCAAGACAGCCTTTCTCCTCCAGCGCAGGGGCTGCCCCATAAAACAGGTGTGCAGGACAGCACAACCACCTGGCAAACCACCACCACAGCAATGCCATGGAGGCACAGCACAAGGCAGGCTTACTTGCTGGAATCCACTTCTGACACTTCTCGCAGTAGTAGGACATCTCCTCCATCCAGGAGGCGTCACCCTCATCGCTGTTCAGAGAGTCCCCGCTCTGGTCGTGCGACAGATCCACCGACGCCTGGTCCTCAGACTCGACGATCAGCAGGGTCTCCCCTTCCACCTCGCCCTCCTCCAGGCCCTCTGAGGTGGACGTCCTGGTGGCTTCGTCATCGTGCCGGCTCAGCAGCCCACTCATGTGAACGTTATTAGCCATCCTAGATGGTGTTTGCATAACAATGAGCTATTCCTCCCCACACCAACAGGTCCATCCACATCAGATGTGCCAGACAAGTCCCCACAGTCAAAGTACCAAAACAGAGAAAATGTTCTGTTTGTACCCTACAGCTTCCGGGACTGGATTACAACCTATACAAAAGAAAGAGTCTTTCACAGATTGCTTCTGTTTGTTGAAATACTTGCAAGCAGGTAGAAACCACAGACCTCCAGAGGTCTTTAACCCAACCTCTAACAGCTCAGGTGTGTGCCTAGGACTGCTGGGATCCTTTTTCCATTAGTGCCTTGTCTCTTTCTTCCATAAGATGCTTTGTCAAAGCAATCTGCTCTTCTAGCAGGCGAATATTCTCCTTCTTCTGATTTTGACGCTCAAGATCTCTGAGAACTCCACTGTGCAGTTTCTGGAAACACAAGGGACAGGGTTTAATCACAGCCTGTTGGATGCCGAGTGCAATTACCCCCACCCAGGCTCTAATCCCTGCTGCAGGGCTGTTCACCATGCTGCCTTTGCAAGTCCTCTGCCACAGCCGCTTAATATGGTCTGAATCTACAGGAGCTGATATCCAGTATTGATAAGCTCAAAGTACTACACCAAAAGGTTCCTTATTTGTACTCAATTCAGATTAGAGAGTTTACTAAGTGGCAAAGCTGTAGAGCAAATAAATGCTATGCACCTATAACTCCTATGACGTGCAGGACGGACATGACCTGTAAAATCCTGTTACCTCTGCCCTAAATTTTTACCAAATCAGACTAATCTCCCCAAAACTTCTCCCCCACAACTTCTTCCTCCTACTTATGTCTTGTAAATGCCTGCTGCAAGGCCAGTAAGAAGCCCCATAGCCTGCACATGCCAAGCTCTTGAAATAGCAAGGCACTGCATTCAGAAAATAGCGTCTCTACCTCAAATGTTAATTAGGTACTACAGACCAGTAGTTTTCAAATTGGGGGAATAGCCCCCTAAGAGGTGTAAAGAGCACCCTGGATTTTCTTAGGGCTTTTTGTTCCCTCTATACACTTTTATCTCTCTCTTTCTTACCTAGCAGTTTTTCTTCACTCTTATAATTCAGTGAAACATTCAAATTTTACCTCTCACCAGGGGAATGCAAAATCAGTGACAACAAATACGGTGGCATGAATTGGGTGGGGAAAAGAAGGGGAAGGACTAGCTGGGAACCAGCTGCCACAGTCCAGATGTGCAGGGCTGATGAGATCAGACACGGGATGGAGGAGATGGCAAGGCTGACACTGACTCTAGAAGGCACTGGGGAGCACGTGAAGTGTTTAACTGGTTGTGCACACGACACAGAGCTGAAATACAGTACCCTGGGAACTTCAGCCAACCAAAGCTCGTGCTGCTGCCATCCTTCCAGCCCCACCATCCCTTCACTGCTCCTCATGCCCCAGGGTCAGACAGCTCAGCCACCAGAAAACACTTGTTTTTTTCTTCTTCTTCTTCCCAAAGACAGTCACATTCTGCTGATTTAACTCCCTGAGCTGGCTAACCAAAGACAAGTGCCAGCACAAAAGAGAATGCAAGATGCCCAGTCCACTTTGGTAGTTTGGCTTGAACAGCTTGGGGCACGTGATATGCTTTTAGATGTTCAGACACTTACTAGATTTCAAAGCAATAGTCAAAATCTTATTGGAAAATATCATACAGGAGGAAAGAAATATTATAAATGAGTAAAAATACAAAATGATTGTTGAGAACAAAGCCTAGCTCAAATCTAAAGCAAGCTGTGTGATTGCAGTTATGTTTTAGCCCACCTAAAGATAAGAATCTTCAGTTGGAGTCTATTTAAAGCATTATCCACCTGCCTAATTTACCAGCTCTATCCATCTGCCTAATTTACCAACTCATGCTTAGTTTGGACCCCGGAATCACAAAGTTTCGCAGGTACTGAGGTTAGCCACTGGATACTGGAGATATGACTAAATTATTTAGCCTAGTAGCAAAAAAATTTAATCATTTATTTGACCTGTTCGAATGATGCCAAAATACACCTGCAAATAATTTATTTGAAAGAAGAGCCTGAAGTCATTTTAGAAGATGTTTATGATTATTATTTGACAAGTTCTCACAGGGTTTTATTCCTCATCTAGAATGTCAATAACTGCACATTTCAAAGGCGATTACTTCTCTCATCAAGATTAAAATAGAAAAGCTTTGTTTAGGAAATATTTTGTAAAGAAAATGCACAGGCACACGTCAGACAATAATCAAAACTCTCTCTGGAAATTAATAAAACCAGCTCCTTCCCATCATCTGAACTCAGATTACAAATTAGTAAAGACAAAGTTAATAAACTTATTATTCCATTGCTATTAATTAATAGCAAAAAAATAAAAAGGTGTGGTGTGATACAATGTAATTGAACAATTACATCAATAATGTAATTCTTTTTCCTTAACAAAACCCAGCTGTTCTGCAGTCTTTCAGAGTGAATGCATTTACCTCAAAAAAGCAGTTTTCAAAACACACCTTTATAATTGAGTATCATGAGTGACAAAGAGCTATGAAAAAAGTTAATCTTCTCACCGTCCTCTGTTCTGAGAAGTTAGGCCTCCTTGTCTTCTGCATCATTTTAGATAAAACGTGTGCAAGCACAGATTACTTTGTGCCTGACATACATTTACAAATGTCTAAAATTTATTAATCTACATAAAGATAAACCTGAAATAATCGCTACATCAGGAGTGAAGTATTTCCACATTACTTATTTAAATTACATTATCTAAATAACTGGGTCCCTTAAACCTGAAGCTTTTATTCCCTGATTTGAATATGAAGAATTAGAAAGAGAAAATCTCAGATTTCATTTATAAAAGATAAGCTTTGAGCCTTAGCACTTCCAAATATCAATTTAAAATTAAGTTAAAGTGATTGCTGGTAAAAGAGTTGAGCATTCTGGCTTCACTTCTGCAGCAGCAGCGTCGTGAGGAATGCTATTATCCTTGCAAACCTATACAGATCAGCATCAAATTCAGCTTTTGGGAGAGCTCTAATTCTAGAGGACTGGTTTGTGAACCCAACCCCATACGTACAGGTCAGGGACCTCTGAAGTCATGAGTCCTATGCAGAATCCACAGGCTGTGCCCACACCTGGCTGTTGGGAAGGATAGCAAAGAATAGACACTGATCTGTCTCCCAAAATCCCCCAAAGGTTTTGTCACTGACTAACTGAATCTCTTGACCACTCCACTTCCAGCTGTGCCCACACCTGGCTGTTAGGAAGGACAGCAAAGAATAGACACTGGATCTGTCTCCCTAAATCCCCCAAAGGTTTTGTCACTGACCAACTGAATCTCTTGACCACTCCACTTCCAGAACACTCAGTAGCCACAGCAGTGACACTGGTACCCTCCAGAGCAATGGTTCCTTTTTGTGAAAGATCAGTTACAACACACCCATGGGGAGAAAGGTGCCCACCACTGTCTCCTCTGGAAAACTGAGGGTCTCCTCAGGCAGGTCCTTGCAGCAGTGACCTTGGGTGTAACAACCAGAGCAACTTCACATCGTTCTGCAAACCAAGCAACAGCTACAGCACAGAGCAACAGGAAGAGCAGCAAGGCCCAGTTTTCCTCCTGTTATCATTAGAAATACATGAAGCAACCAGAGGCCATTATCAACTCATTGCCTGATCCACCACACCTTTTACTAGTCAGATTCCATACACTGGTAGAAAGGGCACCATAAACTTGCAGTGGTGCCCTTAATTTACCCATGATTTGCACATGAGTCTTTAGTCTTTACATACTAGGGGACTGCTGTCTTGCTCAGGGCTCAGCACAGACCCTGACCACTCAGTGCCTAGTCTCCCATTCCTTCCTCAGCCCCTTGCCCAAGGCATTACTTACTTCATGATACACAGATCCGTCTCAGATGGTGGCATTACCATTTACCTGCAGACTCTTTTATGACTGTTACCCCTGTAGAATATGAATGTTTTATAAATGTTGACTTATTTCCACAGTTTCTCTATGAGATGAAGGAGAGGTATCAGCCAAAGATTAACATCAAATCATCCATTATTATGTTTAGGTGTCTCACTGAAACCTCCAAGGGTAATTTTTTTCAGAGCATACAGTTGTCATGCACCACAAGCTCAAAGGACACCTCTCATTTATTTCAGCTATAGTTTAGGAGCATCTAGCCCATATTTCTGCCAGATCTTCCGTGACTCTAAGCAGGCACCCTGAATTAACTAACAGCCACCTACAAAAATCTGAGCTTAAGTGACCTACCCAGCATACACGTCAGCTTTGGCAAATGCAGAGCCATCCCTCACTGCCACTCCCAGGAGGTCAGACGTCCCCTCCTTGCTACTACCTGTGCCAAACACTGTGTTTTTCAACTCCTGCAGCAAAACAGCCTGCCTCCTTCCTTACCCAGATTAGTCTCATCCTCCAAGATCAATCATCATTCTCAAGCACTGACAGTAAAAATCTCGAGGGGAAAAAAATTAACCCTGTAATTATGGAGTATATCTTATAGCCCATGCAACAGGCAACCTGGCTGGGGCTGCCCAACTAGCAACTTGAACTCTGGTGTTTTTTAACTTCTGGCTGCTTCACACCTTTAACAACCACCATTTAGCATCTCCATTTTCCAGATGTTTTTTGTAAATAAGGGGGGGGGGAGGAGTCAGATGTGTGCCCTCATATCGGTTGGCTCATACCCATTTGGCTTATCAACAGGGTTTAAAACAGCACACTCATTGCCAAGCAGGCAGCATGTTCTGCCATCACACACCTTGTAGTCCTGGACAGGATTTCTTTGGACAGAGACTCACCATCATCTGGCCTGACGCTTTTGGCTTGGGGCTCTGTTGCACACAAGGTGCCTGCCAGGAATTACTTGATTTCTGCAAATGTAGCACCAAAAACTTCCCTGCTTAATTATCACATGATATTTCTGTTAGATTGCACTCTGCCTGTCCTGTCAGAAGGGAGCCAGGGCAGGATGCATGACACAGAAGAACATCCTTTGCCCTTTAGCGGGAGGCGTTTGTGGAGCTCAGGAAAAGCAGAGCACACACGGCCAGAGGGACACAATCCATCAGGACAGCACAGCTGGACAGGGGAGAGACCCGGGGTGGTGCCCTTGGGCCTAGAGAGTGCAGGATTACATCCTTCCTGCATCATAACACCCCAAACTGCTGGAAAGGATAGGGAACCCAGCTCCACTGAGCTGTCACAGTGCCTCACCTTGGAGCTCCTACCTGCATGTCCCTGAAGGCAAATGCAGAGGTCGGGATAAGGGAGCGGGTGTAACTACGTACACATGCAAAGGGCAGATGCCAAGGCAAGAAAAGGTGGGGAAGGGGTAGCTCGTGGAGACAGAAAGACCGAGGGCAGAGCAAGGCAGGCAGCACACAGGTAGGGCACCACTGTGTAG